CCCTCCGTTTTTCGAAAAGGGTTTCGTTTGACTTAATTTCACTTGCCATTTGGCTTTGATTTTCCCCATTTTGCCACGCTTTTCCTTGACTTGATAGCATTTTGAGTTTGCGGAACGATTTTGCGTGTTTAGTTAACATTAAAACGCAGCCAAATTAATTAATTAAAGCGCTTCCAGCCACGAACAAACACACACAATCGAACAGACAGACACACACACACACACTCACACAGAGGGCAGCAAAAATTCAATAAATTTCAATTAGGAAACAAAGGACATTTAATTGTTCGGGGAACCGGGCAAAGAATGCAATTTGCAATGCACAGCGACGCACAAAAAATATTCAATTATGATAAGTAAATAATAGAAATGTAACGCCAAAGCGTGCCAGGCCGTATTTTAATTATGCCAATAAAACTAGCTGGCTTTAAGCCCTTTGGTATAATGTTTTCTTTTTTTTTTTTGGAGAGAAGGAATACTCATACACAAGCCCGGAAAAACTTTTTCGTGCCTTGTCATGGCTTGTGTTTTTAACGACTCGCCTTGAGTCAAATGGAACAAGAGCAATAAAAATATTCCTTCAGCCAGCAAAGACATTACATCATAAGGGGGGTTTTTCTTTGAGGGGGAAGGGGGGTTAGGTTAGAGCCAAAGTCTCATAAGTCATTAACATTCTAAAAGGTTTTTCTAGTCTATACGGGGCCCGACATCATCATAAGCCCCATCAAAATATTATCCCCGTGGCAGAGTCATTATCATTCAGTTGGCTCCTTTCCTCAAGGTGCGTCCTTCACACAGATTAACATACCGAAACGCAGACACAGATACTACACAGATGTAGATACAGATACAGATACAGATACAGACAGGACAAATCCCGCTGATGTCATTTCATTAGTTTCATAAATATTTATTCGATTTGTTATTGTTGTTGTCGCCTTTATCCATAATTTATCAATGTAAGCTGCAACATTTTCATCGTCGTCTTGCCGGCGTCCTTGCCACCCATTGCCACCCACTAAACACACACACAGAGGAATACATGTAGAAAAAGGACCTCCCCTTCGACATTTTCGTTGACAATTTTCTAATCCAATTGATTTGTGCTGCGGGCCAAGACCCCCCTCCCCCGCCGCCTCTTTTTCTGCTCATCCATAACTTGGACAGCCGCAAAACGCGTTGTTTATCTTCCTGAATATCTATATGTAGGGAGTGAAGTACACTGAAAACTATGGAATATAATTTTTCGCAGAATTAATCATCCATTTTTAATCCTATGTACCCGTACTCAATAAATAATAATTTAAATTGTCTCAATAATACAAATGTTTGTAATATAAGCACACAAAAAACGTTTATATAAAAGTAATAATCCAATATAATAATTAAATGGTCTCAACCAATCAAATTGTAAAATTTACCAACGAACTAGTTACTTTCCCACCAAAAAAAAAAACAATTTTATTTGTATAATACTTTGAAATAATAACCAAAGCAACAATTAAATACACATAGCTATTTTTAATAGTTGAAATAATAACCAAAGTAACAATAAAATACACATAACTACTTTTAATAGTTGTCAACCTTTTTTTATAGTTATGTTACTATCCGTATTGGTCAATTTTACCCATTACATTTACTTAAGTGTAGGTTTATTCCAAAGACATTTTTATCTCTTTAAATTATTTTTAAAAAGTCCTACATTGTGGTATAAAAATGCTTTTAAAAAAATGTTTAAGTAAAAAATAAAAGATCCCGAAAATTGATTATGATCTCTAGAAATATTAATTACAGTGCACGAAAATATATATTTATATGTTGAGTGGGGGGGAGCATGCTTGGGGTATTTTATTTATGTATGTTATGTATTTTTGTAAATTTGTTATGAATTCTTTTTTGGCTTGTCGCATTAGGAATGCAAAATTGCCGCACACAAGCGCATTGCACTGGCGTTCACATAAATATAAATACAAATATATAAATACATGTACTTTATTTGTGCCATCCATGTTGCATATTTATTGGCGTGATTGTAGTTCGCATAACCGGAGGACAACCATCCATCTGACAGGAAAGGAAAGTAAAGCAGGGGAAAGCAGAGAAAGTAAGGGAAAGGTACCCCTCCCCCCCAAGTTGGCAAACACCGGCTGATTGTCAACGTTTATTAGCCATAATATTATGACAAGCCAAGCACAAAAGACGGACTAATATTATCCCACTCGAATGTCCTCCTGCGACAACTCTCGGTAATAATCCAAACAATAAATAAATGCATAGTCGTTGATAGTTATCATTGACTAATATGCACACATATCCGCAGAGCCATTAAAACCACATTTAATACGATCCCAGACAGTTTTGATTGCCCAGAAGGCTATACCTTTGAGCCCATGCCACAAATTAAAAATGTCCAACTCTTTTAGATCATAATTACCAATTGTAGCATTAATAAATTCAAGTTTTGCGGTTGCAATGTGATTAAAATCATGGTGGATTATTCGATTTAAAAAAAACCCATGCGGTACCCACTGTGCCAACTTAATTTAAGTTGCAACAATCACAGTAATTATATTCATATTCATATTCACTCTCGCATTTGAATTGCAGCCGGTTACCAGTTGTTTCCACTTCCCAAATTACTATTTACGTTTCGATTGAATGATTGATGGACTGGTGGGGGAGCTGGCCAACATAATTCAGTTTTAATCTATTAATTAAGCATTATGATTTCGACCATTGCGGAGTGGTAATACGACGTACGTATTCGTATGCCCAGCGTGCATATATAATCTAAACAAATAATGCGGTCGATTCTTGGGGTTAATTTGTTGATTGAGGCCTGCAAAGCGTGTATAATTTTGAATGGGGTTGAGGTAGGGATGGGGGGGATTCGAGGGGGCAAAGTCGATCGAATTATCAAGATTGCTCAATTAGTCAATCAATATGGCAGCAAATTGAATATCTGACATTCGGCCATTCACTCGCCTGTCGGCACTAATGACAGTTTGCCGACTTTGATTGCCCATAATGCCCATAATATTGCCATTCAAGGACGCACCCCAACCTGTAATTGTTGAGTATCCCTATGATATTCGATATCTTGAAAGGTTTGCGGGCCAAATTTTGGGGACTTTAACTAGGGCCAAAGGGTAATGCGACAAAGGACCCAACAAGTATAAGAAAATTCTAAATATAAACATAGCTTCATTTGTTCCCTACCAAATCTAGTACTTCTGAAAAATCTAAATAAGAATGTATAAAAAACTAATGAAATGAAATTGAACAAGAAAAAAAGTTAGCTTCGGCAAGCCGAAGCTTATATACCCTTGCAGCTATAATTATTAAATTTAAAAACACAAAAAATGATATTCCCAATAGTATAAGATAATATGTCAAACAAGGAAGAACGCTATAGTCGAGTACCTCGACTATCAGATACCCGTTACTCAAAGGGAAATGGAGATATGCAAGCAGCAAAGCGAAATTAAAATGCGCCACCTACCGGCGGTAGACAGATTTAAGCGTTATGGGCGTTAGAGTGGGCGTGGCAAAATTATTTTTGGATCAATCGATAGGTATTGACGACACCAATACATTTCAGTTAAAATTTTTTATCTAGCATGCAAATTGTGGGCGTCACAGGTTTTCGCGGTTTGTGGGCGTTTAAGTGGGCGTGGCAAACTTTTTTTTAGGTCAATCGATAGGTATTGATGAGAACAATTCATTTCAGTTAAAATTTTCTATCTAGCATCAAAACTGTAGGAGTTACAGTTTTGGGCGGTTTGTGGGCGTTAGAGTGGGCGTGGCAGTCTACTGAAACAAACTTGCGCTGCGTAAGAAGCTCAGGAATCTGTACGCCAAATCTCAATAGCCTAGCTCTCATAGTTTCCGAGATCTCAGCGTTCATCCGGACGGACAGACAGACGGACAGACGGACAGACGGACAGACGGACAGACGGACAGACGGTCAGACGGACAGACGGACAGACGGACAGACGGACAGACGGACATGGCTAGATCGACTCGGCCAGTGATCCTGATCAAGAATATATATACTTTATGGGGTCGGAAACGCTTCCTTCTGCCTGTTACATACTTTCCGACGAATCTAGTATACCCTTTTACTCTACGAGTAACGGGTATAAAAACACCGAAGCTATAATTTGTTTCATATTATTTTTCCACCAATTTTCCGATCGTTCCTATGGCAGCTATATGATATAGTCGTCCGATTTCGATAAAATTTAACTCAAAATTCAAAACTAATTAAAAAATGTTATTTCCAAGCTTAGGAGGTTATATGCTAAGAAACACCAAAGATATAATTTGTTTTAATTTTTTTGTCCGATTATTCCTATGGGAGCTTTAAGATATAGTAGTCCGATCTGGCAGGTTCCGACTTATATACTACCTGCAAAAGATATAAGACTTTTGGGAAAGTTTCAGCCCGATAGCTTTAAAAAAAAGAGACTAGCTTGCGTAAAAACGGACGGACAGACGGACATGGCTAGATCGACTCGTCTAGTCATGCTGATCAAGAATATATATACTTTATGGGGTCGGAAAGGTCTCCTTCACTGCGTTGCAAACTTCTGACTGAAATCAATATACCCTCTGCAAGGGTATAACAAAAATCTACATCGAAGCAAATTTTTTCTACCGATCTAGTAGCCAGGAAATGCATCAAGTTAGCCATGAAATTAACTGTCAAGTCGAATATCGATTCGGATTTGGACCTAAGGGACAGAGCCCCAAATAATTTCAGTTTCGTTTTCGGGCTCGACAATGCAACATCTCCGTGTTTTATTAACTTGTTTAGGCAAGTTAAAAACAAGTTTTTTTTTTAATTTCAGTTTCGTTTTCGGGCTCGACAATGCAACATCTCCGTGTTTTATTAACTTATTTAGGCAAGTTAAAAACAAGTTTTTTTTTTTAATTTATTTAGTTTGTTATTTTTTACTCTCCGGTCTAACAAAGTGAACTTTTTTAATTTTCAGATATGTGAAACACTAAGTATACCTGTAGAATAGCCCCAGGATGTAACGTGACCAGTCCTCCGTAATACACACCTACACACTTGGTATTTTCACACGTGAGAGCTCATAGCAGACGCCAGTAACCAAAAAAGTCCTTGTATAAGGCAGCTAAGACTAACAGAACTTATTGGATGATGTTATAACTGATACAGAAACAGTAAAGCACACTATGTTCAACACAAGTGACGTAAAGTTAAGACTCGTTGACTTGGTGATGGAAGAGAAAAATCTCCAAATATCGCCAGCTACCCTCTCAAAATTATATAGTACTCAAGGACCCAAAACGAAACTGTCACTTTTTAACAGACACGCCACCAATTAAGGTAATATATTTAAACAAAATGTATTTACGATCTATTAATCCCAGAACTAACCCCTAGGAATTTAAATGCATGTGCCCTTAACATGTACAACCTCCAACAGAAGGACGCCTGTCACTCAGGGACCCAATTACGAAACTTTCACTTTTTAACAGACACTCGTGTAATTAAGGCTGCAACTAGGTATCGTAGTACCGATCTAATAATCTTACTCTATCTTTAGGAAATTCTATGCATATGCCCTTAACATGTAAGCTTAAACAGAAGGAGGACGTCTGTTAATCCTGAGGATGAGGTTGGTACTACCATTAAAGAATCTTGGGATTATCTTTAATAAGCCCCCTGTCTTTGCAGCTATTCCAGGTATCCACACATAACTGGGGGCTGCGCGATAGAGGATGGAGGACTTGCATCATACTCGTAAATAAATACATCGTATTATGTTATACATGGAAGGTACTGAAGAACACATCGCAACACATTGAAGTACACCTCGTATTATAAAATATTCTATTTAACCATATAACGTTATCGTACCGACATACACTACATTATACATCATACCTCGAATTTATAATATCGCAAATGTAACACAAACACGAATTATATTGCACTACTAAACCATATGCTGTTCAGAAGGTCGACTTAGTTAAAATAAATGTTTATGCCACAAACTGGTTACAAAAATGTTATTTGGGAAAGGTTGAGCAATACTTGTTTTTGGGTTTGCTTTGTTGAAGTAAAAGGGTGCCAAGTACAACAACGAAAATCGGGAAAATTTATTTTTGAACCAATTTTCGCATTTTTTTACAAACCCTTGCATCATGATTTTTTTGATTTCAGATTTTATTAAAAAAAAATCATTTTTTAGTGGTTTTTCAGTCGTAGTTTAGCCAAAACAAGGCGTACAGCTAAAATACCGACAGTTTTGAGGAGCTTGCTTCAATTGCTATCGATCCCCATCACTTTAAAGAAGATTTTTTTTGACAAAGTTTTTCATTTTTTGTAAGGGGGTAGCTCGGTTTGTTTTGGGATTCAGATTTTGGTCGAAAATACTCTCTGCAAGGGTATAATAATAAAGAGAAAGAGAGGCCGATTCTATTTACACCAAAATACCAAAAATAACTCCAAGGCATTAAAAAGTATGATAAAATTCTAAAATATACCCATACCTATCATTATACTCTTCACAATATACTTAGTATTTCTAAAAAATCCAGAGATTATTAATAAAGAACTCATGAAATGAAATTGAATAAAAGATAGAGAAAGACCGATTCCGATTAAAAAATGTCCAGAAAAAATCCAAGGCAGTAAGAATACTTGAGCTAACTCAAAGTATAAACATACCTACTTCATTATACTTTTTTCCAACAAGCCCAGAGTTTCTGAAAAATCTGCAAAAAATTAATAAAGAACTAATGAAATGAAATTGAATAATAAAGTGAGAGAGAGACCGATTCTGATTGAAAAAACCCAGCTGATTGCTAGGAAACATGCTCAGCGAACCAAAGCTAATTGTTTTGTCTGGCTTAACTTCTTATTCCCGGATGCCGAGCTCCTCCCGTTGCTTTGACCACCCAATCCCCAGATAAATGCTCCATGGATTTATCTTCAAGCCAGTCGATTGTTGGCCAGCTACCGAATATACCGTCCATTACCCCTTTTGTACGTTCGCCAGTGGAGAAGCAGTAATCAGTAACCCGTAATCATTTCGAATGGTCCATCGTTGTTGGCATTAAAACGGGCGTTTAGTCGGGGTTGTGTAGTGGGGTGGGGCACAACCGACCCCCAGACACTTTGCCCCCATTTCGAGGACTTCATCTTCTGGCCAAAACAAACTGCGCCATCCAACGGACGCTTGCAGTCGCCAGTCGAACCAAGTTCATTATTTGCGCTACGTGACCTGCAGGCAGCATTTGCCGAAACTTCCGCCCACTCTCGGGAAAACCCCCTTCGGAAAACCCCCTTCTGAAAGACCCCCTTTATAGCACCCCCTTGCCAGGCGTTGCAACATCATAATTGCGATGTTGTATGTGCCATAACTAAGAAAAGTAAGTGCAAATGCAGTATTAACTAGAGATGGAAGTGCGAAACTATCAAACTTATATATATTAAAAAATGTTTTAAATATTATATAATATTTTTCTAATATAAGTATAAAGAAAATATATTGTTTAAAAGGAGACACAAATTTTTTAGCTCATGTGCAAACCATTTTAGCAGCTATAATGTCATCACAAGCACAACTCTAGTATAGAAAGTTTAGAGTTTTTTCACTTTATGACCAACGCCCCCATTTCACCTGGCCACGCCCCTTATCCGAAAACCTATGGACAAAAAAAGCCACAAAAAATGCGGTGAAAAGTAAAAACCGCAAAGTTTTTAGAGAGCGCATAAATCATTTGCTTCTTTTGTTTTCACTTCCAGCGATGGACAAACAGCAGCGACTGGTCATAAAATTGGGAAGACACCTGCTGCTACACCCCCTTGGCTTAAAAACCACCCTCTGCCCACCGAAATTCCCTTGAATCCATAAAACTTCCACTCTAATTTAACTTAACCGAGCTGATTTAAAGCGATTGGATTTAAAACAGCCCTTAAGCTATTATGTCTTATTTATATATATAAAACTGTTTTAACCTTTTTAAGAACGGATTCATGGCTCAAGAGACCATATTCAGCTTCAAAGATATCCAATTTAATTTTAAATCCATTCAAGTATTTAAAAAAAATCACAGTAAAACCTAGTTTTCATAGATATGTCTCGAGTATTTACCCTGGCATTTCCCTGCACTTTCCCAACTGAGATTGAAAAGACTCCGCGAGATTTGCCTTCGACTGCGGCCTGTCATTCCGCTGTCATGGCAGTCTCATTTGAGCCACTCCTGATCCTGATGCGCCACTCCCACCTGTCTCCCGTCCCCCTTTTTTGGCCAAAAACACCAGGAAGCCAAAAACCAAACACGTAGCCCCACTGAGGGCACGAAAAGTAAAAGTTAATACGATATTCATGAGCTGCTAAGCGCAGATGTGACTCGCATTGTGATACAGTCTCTGTAACCAAACACCAGGTACACTGGGAAAAAGTTGGGTTTTAAATTTTAAATTCTATTTTATTAAATCAAGAACCATTTGTATTTTAATCAGTAGAGTTTAGGCTTTAATGCTGTAGTAAATATTTCATAATTGGGTAAAGAAGTATGAGCTTACAAAGATTATTTCCCAATTTTCACTTTGTTTAAGTGGATTAAGTATCACTACATAATACTAAAAAGGTTTGATTTTAAATAAAATTTTTATATGACGATTTAAAATTAAAAAAAAATTGTTCGGCTGAAAACGATTTAATCTAACATAATATTAGGTTTTTTTTTGTCTGGATGACTTTTAAAATATTTCAAAAAAGGTATTTAATTTTAGATCAAATAAGATACTTTCAATGTAAGATTTATTTTTTCTGTGACAATTTCTCATGTAAAAAAAAATAATATATAGGATTGGTATATTTTGTCTGGAAGACTTTTGAAATATTAAAAAAACCTAATTTATTTTTGATCAAATAAGATAAGTTTAATGGAATATTGCATTTTAAGTAATATATTTTAAGTGCATAACTATAATCACTGGAATATAACGTGCAACTTAAAGTCACAGTAAGTATATTTTTTTGGGAGTCCATAAAATAACCCCCGCTTCTCTTGGTGTACAAATACAGTTAAATAGAGATACGATGCCGTTACAAGTGAGCACCATGCCACAGCCACATCGCCTGCCACATCCACCCCCTTCGAGGTCCTCCGCTCGCACAGGCTGAAGTTTAATTAATTATTTAATTTTAAGCACTTGAGCGCACCAAGCGACGATGGTGAGACGATGGCCAGGGATTAACTTAATAATATATGAGCCATGTGTGCGAGTGGCCATGTCCTGTTGGCCATGCTGTCCAGTTATCCTGCCCCATTGTCCTTGTTGGCCTGACCGCTTGGCCGCTTCAGTTAATGCAGACTAATGAGACATTGTGGAACGAATTAATTTCACGCATGATTAACACATCAAATGCCACAGTAGTTGGCCAAAAACAGGACCTCCTCCTTCTCTCCTCAAAGGACATTAGTGGCGAAATTCTGGGGCACAAAGTTTCGCAGTTCTTGGCGCTGTCAGCTTGCCACATTAACCCAGTTGCAAGTTCCCAGTGCAGATAACACGGAAGTGTCATCCTCATCGTCGTCGTCGTCGTCTGCCAGTGCAGTTCAGAGTTTCCCAGTTCCGAGTGGAAAAACCAAAAAAAAAAAATAGAAAAGAAAACATAGGAAAAAAACCCGCTGCAAAAACATTTCTCGTACGCCGCATAAAAACATGGAAAATCATGAAAATATGCATATAGCCACACGTACGCGTAGAGGAATGTGCTTTAACTATAAAGTTGTTGCTGCAGTTGTAAGTATGTGGCGGCGAGTGTTTTTCTATGCCCTGCAAGCCATAAAATGCGGAAAGGTGTGGCATGTCAGTTATACAGCGATTTTCGGCTTTTTACAGCGGATATAATAAACGTTTACTGGGGCTTAAACTGTTTTTTAATATACACTTGAGATATAATTTTGTATCTTATTTAATATGAAATATTAAACAAATATTAGACTTTCGGAAGTATAAATTTCAAAACCATAATATGTAATGAATAACTCTTCTTTAAAACGTACAAGAATTTTATAATAAGTTATAAAATCAAAGAAAGCTCAATCTTTAATTCCTTTAAAAAATGTTTTAATTATTTTTAAATCTTGTATAACAAATATAATTTTATAATATAATATATAATATTTTTTGTATACATATAAATATGAAAAGTCAAGTTCAAGTGACTTTGAGTTCCAAAAATCTTTAATTTTAAAATTTTATATGATAAACGAAGTACTTTTTATTTCAAAAGTATTTTCTGTTTATAAGAAACCTACAAGAATCTTATTATAAATTTGTAAGGCTGAGGTAGCTCAATTTTAATTTAAGATACTTATTTTTTTTCTTTAAAAACAAGACTTCTTAAATACAAAAATATACATATTTATATATAACTATTTATATTTAAGCCATACACTTTTGGTATTTCTTGAGTATTTAAGAATCAAACAAAAACACCTCTCAACAAGGTAAAAAGTAGTGGCGAACGCGCCTTTAACAAAAATTTTTGATATCAACAATTGTGACGAAAAATAATATTACGTTCGAAAAAATAAATAAACTATATTAAATTTATGATTTCGGCCCGCAACAAATAAATATTTACTTACCTACACGTACATTTTCTGTTGTAGCGTGCCGAATACATAAATTTAATATAGTATATTTATTTTATCACCCAGTGAGAACCGAGTTCTAAAAATCTGATAGTACATCCAAGGGTCGTGGTAACTCGTCTGCTGTTTTTTAATGTTGTGCAAAGTGGGGTGGGGATTTTGTCGGCCCTAATGCCAAAGGTCGTCGCCGTGTGATGAGAGATAAATGCCAAATGCTCTGGCGCGCCCCAGCGAACAAATCTGGCAGCTGTGGGTCGCATTTAATTATGTAAGTAGCTATGTAAGCAGCCTTCACGGCTTATTTTGGCTTTAAATTAGCATATGTGCAGGTGCTTAAAGCACAGTTTTGGATGGTAATCGTATGTGGGTAGGTATAT